CTTTGGCTCTTGCCCGTTATTATGTGACGTCACATTACCCAGCGGAGTGGGGAAAGATATGAAGGTGGAAAACAATAGAGTCCCCTCCCCCCCCCCCCTGCAAACATCAAATACAATAATTACTCAGGCTTACCATTCGAGATGCAGCTCCCGAAGGCTATCAAGTAACGCCAGAAACGCTTGAGACTTTTAAGCCCTCTTACGCAACGCATCAAGCAAGGTGAAAAACGAAAACGATGCCATCCGAAATCAGATTTCCGACTTTGACGAGCGACGCATTTCTCAACCAAAAACCCAATAAACAAACTAGCCATGAATAACAGAAGACTCTTGATAGCAGCTGTATTTCATTTTGTACATCCAGTGGAAAAAGACACTTAAAAACAACACAAGTTGATACAAAACTCTGTCAGTTTCAGCTGTAGCATGAACTCACATGTCAAATTTTGACCAATAAGAGCATAAGAATTGGACGTAGAGCGTGACCAACGCGAGACCATGGTAAGAAAAGGTCTCCCCGCCTGTGTTTTTAAATAACTGGCTTAAGTTTCGCGTCCGAGGTCAGTTTGAAATCAAAATCTTAATAGTGCGGGGCCATACTGATATAAACGCAACATATTTCAAATGAATTTTTAAAAAATAAACTTGAGCGGGCGATCATTTGAAAAGTAGTAACTTGTCACACCTGAGCCCTCAATACGGTCAGGTGATACTGGTCAGCGGATACCCTGCTTTGACAGCTGTCAATTGATCACATCATTAAATTAATATATTGCTATGCTACGAATCAACAACTTAGAAGTTCCTCACGCGCAAACCGCGTTGATGAACTGCAATTGAGGCGCCGTGAAAAAATGATTTGGTCACTATTTGTGTGCTATTTTGTTACCACAATTGTTGCAATCGAAGAGAATTCTAGATCAGCCAACTTCATCATTAGGCAAAATAAGCGCTTAGCAAGCCAAGCGGTGTTAAAAATTCATCCGTCAAGTCTCGTGTCGTGTAACCTGGCATGCTTGAGGCACTCGTGGTGTACCTCTACGAACTTTAAAGAGTCCTTTGGTGAGAACAGTAAAGGGAGTTGTGAACTGAACAAGCACGAGTTGTCTACAAAACAACATGACGCCAAGCTCACGGATCAACCAGGGAATACGTTTGCAATGATTCTTGAGGTAGAAGAAAAAGTTTCTTTCAAATCCAACCTGAATACGGTTATTTTATTTATTTATTTATTTTTTGTAGAACGAGAGATAATTTAAACTTTTCAACTTTTCAACTTTTCAACTTTATTTGCACTGTTCAGATGAATTAATCTTACACATACAGAATATATAATTTTCTTACAGAAATGTACTATTCAATTAATAAATGGAAAATCTAGAGAGAATATGCACAGTGGCCAAAGGAGCCGAGGCTTTCGAGTTGGCCACTGTCATGTTTGAATATAATCGGAAATAAAAAACAAGATTTACATTCGTTTAGATTAACGGGCACATTATTAGCATAATCTACAGTAAGTATTATACCAACTGAAGCACAGCTTTACTTGGGCGCTCATTTACGCGCCCACGTACAAACAGAGGGCATACTGTGACATCTACTATTACTGATTGTAAAGAAGAAGTGTTTTATATTGCTTTCTATGCTGAAAGCAGTTTCGGTAAGTGACTTTAAGTGTGATGGGACACTTTCCCACCTTGATCTGCCTTATATCTAAACATAAATTTGCCGTAAAAAATAAACCAGCATGGTTTGGTATTAATTTCAAATTGTTATTCGGAAATACAATATCGAGTGATACCAAATGAATACGATGTTTATCTATATTGTCTAGTTCAAAAGGGAGTTTAGAAAGTTCGAAAATTACGAGAAATATTCCTTCGGTGTGTATTTCATCAGTTTACGATGTCCGGCTAAGTACTATATTGAAACTAAGAAAATAGAGAAATAGAGCGTCAAGTAGTAGTTAGAAATTTTGTTTGTTTCTATAGCTCTTTATATCAATAATAACTTCACCCGTATGCCAAGTGAAGAAAACCCGCCTACAAGAGCACCAGAAGTTTTTTCCCTTATGCTAAGACCAAGCCCTGGCGAAATATATTTAGCCAAAGCACATGAAAGGCTGTTCGCGCCGATTGCAAAGCCCGGTTTTGTTCATAGGAGAAACATATTGCACGAATCCAGCCTAAAAACCAAATGTAAGTAAACCTGTAATTAAAAAAGAAACATCGTTACAGTTAACACGAAAACATTTTTTCAAGGCGTTTTTAAGAACATGTTAGACTAAAAGTTTGTCATTTAGGCTTCTTTTATAGAAGAACCTTTTTAGCCTTAAATTTGAAAGCGGTTCCGTTATTTTCTTAAATCTATCTATCTATCTATATATATAAACTCTGTATACTCTGCAAATAGGATAAGTCAACATTCAGAATCCTCTCTGGTGACATAGGTGCCTTATTACTCCAACTGCAATTGTAATGGTATACCGGTTTTATCCAAA